GGTCTTGACACCCACCCCTCTTCCCATTCCAGGCCATGGAGCAACTGCTGGTGAGTGGGCAGCCCCTGCTCATCTTCCTGGAGGAGGCCCCTGGGGTCCAGGGGCCACGGCTGTCAGCCCTGGGCCAGGCCTGGCTGGGACTGGTGGTGCAGGCAGTCCAGGTGGGCATTGTCCCAGATGCTATGCTGGTGCCAGTAGCCGTCACCTATGACCTGGTTCCAGATGCTCCACGAGACGTACACCATGTAAGACCCTCCTGCCCCTGGGGACAAGTAGACACCAGCTCCAGACAGAAGGCACAGTATTGTTAGGGCTGGGGTCAAAACCGGGGTGTGTATGAAGAAATTCTCCCTGCAGTCATCATCCTGTGGCCCAGGAGAGGTGGCGTACTCAGGCTCTCCCTCCCTGCAGGCCTCAGCTCCCCTGGGGCTGTGGAGAGCAGCTCTGGCCATTCTGTGGAGCCTGTGCAGCTGCTGGGGCTGTGGCCGCCGTGTCTGTGTCCGCGTGCATCTTGCCCAGCCCTTCTCCCTGAAGGTATGGAGCCAGATGAACAAGGCTAAGAGTGCCTAGGGTCTGTCCCGGGGCATCTGACAGTCTGGCCTCAAAGCCACTGCAGGGATAGCCTTACTCTACCCCAGGTGGGCTGTGTGCAGGTCTCTTGGTGGGCCAGAGCAGGCCACCTAAGAACCTTGTCCTGGGCAGGAATACACCAGCAACACCAGAAGCTGCTGGGGCAGCAGGCAGACCCTGGAGCAGCTGCTGCAGCCCATCGTGCTGGGCCAATGGTAGGGGCAGGGGAGTGTGTGCATCTTGGGGGCAAGGCAGGCAGCCCCTTCAGCATCAGCTTGTGTAGCTGACACCCCTCCCCCCATATACACACGCACAATGTGCATCTTGGGGGCAAGGCAGGCAGCCCCTTCAGCATCAGCTTGTGTAGCTGACACCCCTTCCCCCATATACACACACACTCTCACACATCAGCAGCCTTTCCTTGGGTCACCTGGAACAGTACCAGGCACTTGCCTTGCCAACAGTCTGCATGTGGCATGTGGCACACAGGCCTGGAAGGGGCTGGGAGTTACATGTGCCATCCCCTGCCCTGGGGCTGGGATGGGAAAAATGCTATCACCTTTGAGAAAGCCCTGGGATTTTCTGCAATTGTTTCTAGGTTTGGTCCTTTCATTCTGTGATCTATGTCTATTCCAGTACTGTTGTCCCAGACACTGAGAAGGAGCAAGAGTGGACCCCAGTAACTGGGCCTCTGCTGTCCCTCAAGGAAGAGGACCAGCTTCTGGTCAGGAGGCTGAGCCGTCACATCCTGAGTGGTGAGGGTAAACTAGATCTGGGCCTTGGGGGGTGGCTCTCTGAGCGGTCCCTTCTCTCTGTGGGATGGCCAGTTGTTGGGACCCTCTGTTCCAAGTGTGTGTCTGCACCTGAGCCACCCTCTCTCTGTGGCACAGTTGGGATATTCAAAGAGTGGAACCCTCCCTCTGCCCCCAAGAAGTGGGGCAGCCAGGGAGAGCATGAGGGAGCAGCTGAGTAGACACATACAGCCAACTGAGCCGAGGAAGATGAGCTGGGTTGATGCCTGGGCTGTAACCACCTACCCAGAGTCACACCCAGCCTCGCCTCGGGCTCATTACCTCATCTCTCTGAGCTTGAGTCTCCTTAGCTGTAAATGGGGATGGTGTTAACTGAATGGAGTAATGCATGTAAGGGGCTTAACACTGTGCCTGCACAGGGAGGCTCTTGCGGCATTCTGTTATCTTCTCAAGTGCCCCTTTTGTGGTGGAGACTGGGTTGGTGGGTGGGCACTGCAAGATCCAGGGAAGGCTCCTGAGCTGTTTGCCTGGCTCTCAGCATATGTATGATAAATGCCAATTCTTGGGGCCTGCTTTCCTCCTCCCTGGGGTGGAGTTGGAGCTTGCCAGGTGATGGAGGGACCAGGCTCCTGGGCCTCAATCTCTGACCAGCATCCCACTCCGGCCGCAGCCAGCGTGGCAAGCTCGGCAGTGATGAGCACAGCCATCATGGCCACACTGCTGCTCTTCAAGCACAGGAAGGTAGGGTGCAGTGTGGTGGGAGCTGGGGGAGGGGGTGTGGCCCTCCTGCTCAGCCTTGCTCTGCCCACCCAGGGCGTGTTCCTGTCGCAGCTCCTGGGGGAGTTCTCCTGGTTGACTGAGGAGGCACTGCTGCGTGGCTTCGATGTGGGCTTCTCTGGGCAGCTGCGGTGCCTGGTGCAACACACCCTGAGCCTGTTGCGGGTGCACGTGGCCCTGCTGCGCATCCACCAGGGGGACTTGCTGGTGGTGCCCCGGCCTGGCCCAGGCCTCACGCACCTGGCACGCCTGAGTGCTGAGCTGCTGCCTGCCTTCCTGAGCGAGGCTGTGGGTGGTGAGTCCTGAGGGCTCAGGGTGGGGGGATGTGTGTTTAGGGGTGAAGGGAATGGCTCCTTGCTCATGCTGGCCCCTCTTCCCCCAGCCTGTGCTGTGAGGGGGCTGCTGGCAGGTAGAGTGCCGCCTGAGGGGCCCTGGGAGCTGCAGGGCATAGAGCTGCTGAGCCAGAATGAGCTGTACCGCCAGATCCTGCTGCTGGTACATCTGCTGCCACAAGACCTGCTGCTGCTGCAGGTCAGTGCCCCCCACCCCTGCTCCCAGCCCCCAAGCTCAGCTGGGTCCTGGGCCTTCCCTGCTTGATTGTGGAAGGTAGCCCATCCCTGCCTGAGCCCTACCCTTAAGACCTCGTGTTGTGGTAGGTTTGGCCTTGCCCTGCCTCTGGCCAGGCCCTTGCCTATGTGCCTGGCTCTCCTGAGGCCATATGGGTACCTCTTTCTCCCCAGCCCTGCCAGTCGTCCTACTGCTACTGTCAGGAGGTGTTGGACCGTCTCATCCAGTGTGGACTTCTGGTTGCTGAGGAGGTAGGCAGGGCAGTTGCAGACAAAGCCCCTGCCTAAGGCCTGACCTCCTGCAGCCTCCCACCCTGAGTGACAGCTGCCCCAGGCTCCTCTTCTGCTCCGAGTGTGCTGTGGGGGTGCAGCCTCTGGCCTAGCAGAGAAGCCTCCACCACTGTGCCTTGGGATATGACCACATCTGCCCTGGGCCCATGTGTGTCTCTCAGGAAGGACTGGACATTTGTACCTATGAGGCTCTCTGCACACCTCCTATGCCCATATTTCTTGTTCACAGGGCTATGGCCCTTGAGGGCAGGTGCTCACTTCCTCTCACCCTGCAAGTTGCCCCAGCAGGTGCTATGACCTGGCGTGGATCTAGGCATCCTCTTGGGCTCCCTAAGTCTGTTTTTACTGTTTTCACCTGCATGTACCTGGTTTGGGGGGTGTAGCGCTGATCCCTGGCCAGCCTGTCAGGGACCAATGGCTCCCACGGTCCCCAGACCCCAGGCTCCCAGCCAGCCTGCGACACAGGGCGACAGCGTTTGAGTTCAAAGCTGCTGTGGAAAACCAGCGGGGACTTTACTGATAGCGACAGTGACGACTTCATGGAAGCCGAGGGCCGGTACTTCAGGGTGTGTTGGGAGAAGCTACCCTGGGAAGGAGTTGGTAGGGAGGCAGTGGGGAGCTGCCCTCACCCTGGTTTGTCCCCTTCCAGCTCGGCCAGCAGTCGCGCTGCCCTGACTTCTTCCTCTTCCTCTGCCGCCTGCTCAGCCCACTGCTCAAGGCCTTCGCACAGGCTGCCACCTTTCTCCACCAGGGACAGCTGCCCGATACTGGTGAGGCCCTCACTTCCCTTGCAGTCCTCAGGGCAGGGGCTCTGCCTGTGTAGGGCCCTGGGTCTAGGTCTTGTCTCTTCTGCAGAGTCGGGCTACACAGAGCAGCTGTTCCAATTCTTGCAGGCCACTGCCCAGGAAGAAGGGATCTTTGGTGAGTTCCAAGCAGCCAGCCCAGGCTCCAGGAGGCAGGGGTGGGTTTGCTGGTGGCTGCTGCCCCCTGCTGGGCAGTGACAGCCCAACTCCAGGAAGATGGTCTTCAGTCCGGTCTGAGCCCTATACCTGGATTGTTCCTTCTTTAAACAAGAGGAAGAGAGAAGCCTGTGCCCAGTGGCTCCCTGCCTTCCCTCCCCAGAGCCTTCATTTCTCTTCTCCCTCTAGAGTGTGCAGACCCAAATCTTGCCATCAGTGCTATCTGGACCTTCAGAGACCTGGGGGTAAGAGGGGCCCGTGTCACCCCATCTGTCTCCCTGCTTCTACCCTGATAGAGCTGCTTAGGGAAACCCAGCTATGTCCCCCACCCCCACCCCCACCCCATGGGGCTGGCCCTGATGCTGCCTCATTAAGACCCTGGGATTCACCTGATATCTCCCAGGAGTAGATGTAGTGATGGTAGGTTGGAGAAGGCTGTGTGGTTTTCCTGCCCCTCTTGGTCTCCCAAACCACTGCCTCATTCTACTCACGGGCAGCTCACTGGGGGATGGTTTGAGAGAGATGATAGAGCATTTGCACTAACACACTGAGGCCAGTGGGACCAGAGGTCTCAAGGAGGTTTCTGGGGGACAGGTTTAGCCCCTGGGACCTGTGGGCAGTCCCCATGGTGAGGGCACTCACAGCCCGTCTTCATGGCCCAGGTGCTGCAGCAGATGCCCAGCCCTGAAGGCCCTAGGCTCCACCTGTCCCCTGCATTTGCCAGCCAGGACAATCAGGAAAAGCTGGAACAATTCATCTGGCAGTTCATCTGTAGCTAGAACTATGGGACAGAGCCTGTGCTGAGACTTCTCAGCCCCAGAACACAGCTGCATCTGGGAGCTAGATGACTGAGAGGAAGCTGCAAACCCTTAGCTGGACTATAAAATCTTTGAGGTTTGATTGTCTCTTGCTGTCTTTTGCTTTCTCCATCCTCAGGTATGATAAAAAAGGGTACTAAAACAAGTCTCTTTTGCCAAGTCTGGCAGTATCTTTCTGGTGTGCATTCTTCTCCACCCCTTTGAAAATGCCCCATCTCGCCCCATGAAACAAACCCTAAAAAAAAAAAACAGTAGCAGAAGCCCAGCTGCTGCTTTGGCTTGACAGATTTATTGAGGAGCACTCTATCTTTCTCCCTTCCTCCTAGAAGAGCCTTGGGGGGGCTGCCAACAACCCATGTCTGGGTATTTCCCTGTGCTGGTCTGAGTGGGAGCAGGTGCCCACAATCTTGTTTTAAGTACAGGGTCTGTGCAGGAGCCATCACACCACCTTGTTGACGATGACACCTAGTTCTTCAATCTCACACTGGACTTCATCTCCCTTCTGCAACAGAGCAGGCTGTGAGAAGTTGAGCCCTTTACCCTCTCTCTCTTTCCCTTTCTCACTCATTCTCAATCTCTCCCCCCACCTCCGACACACACACATACACAAACCTGAATTTCTCAAGTCTGAGCCAACCTGCCAGGCCTTCTGGGTCCTTGCTCCCTTTCTTCTTCTTAGCTAACGTACCTTGAGGAAGACAGGAGGTTTTCTGAACAGACCAACACCTGGTGGGGTCCCAGTCAGGATGACATCCCCTGGGTAAAGAGTGACAAACCTGGGGCAAAGCAAAAGGAACAGGTGAGACCAGCGGCCTAGGAGGCCACAACCAGGGATGAAGGGCTAGGCTCAGCCTCCAATTTGGGGGGGTGGGGGCTGGCCAAGACAGGCTCTGTTCTACTCACCGGGAGACCCATGCTATCAGCTCTTCCGTCTTAAATACCATCTGACTGGTGTTGCTGCTCTGGACCACCTCCCCATTCACCCGGCAGCAGATCTTTAAGTTGTGTGGATCTGAAATGCAAAGTTTCCCCTCAACTTCTTTCCCATATTTAGAAAAAAACTGTAGAGAGGCTTTGTGACTTAACAGGCAAAAGGACTTTGTGCCCACTTCAATTCAGCACTCTACCCTGGAACTTTCTATATAGACATGGCCTCCTCAGGTCTCCCTGCATCCCCACCACCCAGCAGAGTACCAGGCAATAGTCATGTGAGTTAAGTCGTGTGACTTTCAAGGGGGAGAGAAAAATGCCTGGGGCTTTTGCTTCAAAGAAATGGATGTCTGTCTACAGCAGAAACTGACAAGTGTAGATTTAAAAAATGACTCAGCATCAACAAAGCAACAGGGCAATGGCACAAGCAGGGACAGTGAAGCTGCATGTACCTGAAGCTGGCAGGGGATGGCTTACTCAAACTAGTCTCCTGGCCAACTGGCACTTTTAGTTTTTTTTTTTGACCCGTTAGGGGATCGCAACCCTCGGCATGGTGTTGTCTGCACCACGCTCAACCAGTGAGCCCTGAAGCTGGCAGGGGATGGCTTACTCAAACTAGTCTCCTGGCCAACTGGCACTTTTAGTTCTTTTTTTTGACCCGTTAGGGGATCGCGACCCTCGGCATGGTGTTGTCAGCACCACGCTCAACCAGTGAGTGCACCGGCCATCCCCATATAGGATCCAAACCCGCGGCCTTGGCGCTACCAGCACCACACTCTCCTGAGTGAGCCACGGGGCCGGCCCACTTCTAGCTTTTTTGATGGTGGCCTTTGTGTTCTACACCCTCCTTAGGTAGAGCAGCTGGAACACCACTTAACTTTCCTGAGGACTCTGACTGTATGAGTGCTGCAAGGCACTGGTGCCCTTGGTGTCTTCCCCACCCTCCTTAGGTAGAGCAGCTGGAACACCACTTAACTTTCCTGAGGACTCTGACTGTATGGGTGCTGCAAGGCACTGGTGCCCTTGGTGTCACCCCCAATGGCTTTGGGTGGCTGCGCTCTGCTCTCTTAGCCACCGCCTCCCTCCAGGCTCACTGTTCTTGCTGCGTGCAGTTGGTGTTTACACAGTGGCTGGGCACAGTCAGTTGGTGCTCTTACACCTCCCTTATCTTGGAAAATGCACAGGCTTTGTGACAGCCATTCTCCCCAGCACTCAAAGGCCAGCTTTGCTTTATTTCAACTTAAAGACTATTCCAGATGGTGGCAGCTAGGGGAAGCCTGACCCAACCATCAGTGTTGGAAAATGCACAGGCTTTGTGACAGCCATTCTCCCCAGCACTCAAAGGCCAGCTTTGCTTTCTTTCAACTTAAAGACTATTCCAGATGATGGCAGCTAGGAGAAGCCTGACCCAACCATCAGTGCGTGCCCTTGGTGTCACCCCCAATGGCTTTGGGTGGCTGCGCTCTGCTCTCTTAGCCACCGCCTCCCTCCAGGCTCACTGTTCTTGCTGCGTGCAGTTGGTGTTTACACAGTGGCTGGGCACAGTCAGTTGGTGCTCTTACACCTCCCTTATCTTGGAAAATGCACAGGCTTTGTGACAGCCATTCTCCCCAGCACTCAAAGGCCAGCTTTGCTTTATTTCAACTTAAAGACTATTCCAGATGGTGGCAGCTAGGGGAAGCCTGACCCAACCATCAGTGTAGAGTTGTTTTTTGTATTCACTTCCTGAATGCAGTTCCAAGACCTCTGCAGTTCTGTTCCCCCTCTTGGGACCTGGGGCTTGGGAAGGAAGCCCATGGGAGAGCCCACAGCTGAGGCCGAGACTTGCCCTCTATGGAATCAGCAGCCAATAGGCAGTTGGGGAGGGTGGGCTCTGTACGTAGCAGTGCCCGCACTCCTGCCCCCTGGAGTGCTGCTTTCTCCTGATGCTGAGGTATCTGTGTAAAGGCAGGTACAGTGGGCAAAGACCAGGGACCTACCTGCTATACTGTCCTTGGTCACCAAAGCAGGGCCCAGGGGGCAAAAGGTGTCGAAAGTTTTTCCCAGCAGCCACTGCTTCCCGTTGCGTCCTATTTGCCAGTCACGAGCACTCACATCATCAGCCACAGTGAAACCAGCCACGTGAGCCATGGCATCTGTGGCCTATGGGGGGAGGGGTTTGGCCTGATAGGTTAGATCACAGATGACACTAGTTCCTACACCAAAGGATCTCAAAGCCTTTATCCCACGTTAATAGGTAGAGCTAGCCAAAGGTGGTAGGCAGGGGACAAGGCAATGTCAGGGAGCAGGTGGGTGCCAACCACTTCCAGTGTCAGGGACAGCTGACCACTGTGTTGGTGAGCAAGGTCAGCACTAGCAGAGGTAGAAGCTGGGACCTCTGTTCCACTCTGGCCTGGGAGCCCACACCTTCCACCTCACCTTGATGTGCTTGCCTTTCTTTCCAATGACCACGGCCAGCTCCACCTCCCAGTCCACCTCCTGTAGAGTAGGAGAGGAGCAGTGAGCTGCCGTGGTTCTGGGGCCTGTTTCCAAGCTGAGAGGCTGCTCACTGTGCCTCATGGCCTGGGTCTCTGACAGTGTGGCTTGGCTGGTGGCTCACATTTGCAATCTCCAGGAACCAGAGCTGAGTGAATGACAGGGTAGGCGTACTTTGGGCAGTGCACTGGATGCAGGCACAGCTCCCCACTGTGACTGTAGAAGAGCAACACATAGCTAGGGGATTGAGTTTAAAGTCACTCCTGATACCTTCATCAAAGTATAAATACCAAGTAGTACTTAGCAATATGTAATCCTACTGTGTGCCAGGCACTATTCTAAGTGCTTTAATTATTAACTCACTTTAATGATAACAAGAAAAAGACCAATATCCCCAAATAAATCTGTGCAAAGGGCTTGAATAAGCAGTTCAAAAAAATTAAATCCACATGGCCACAAAACATGAAAATATGCTCAGCCTCTCCCATAATCAGCAAAATGCAATTGCAAAATAGATACAATTTAGTCTTTCAAATTGGCTGCTATTTCTAATGGTAATAACCAGAGTTGGTATCAGTACATCTGACACCCAGATATTGGTCTCTAATACCACTCCCCACTAAAGGGAACTAGGTTCCTTGGGGAAATGACTAATTTCATGCCCAAGACAGAGGTTACAAGATGAGCCTGGAATATCCTGGCCAGAAAGAAAGTGCTCAAAGTGACAAGGATGGGAACCAATTTGAAGGCCTCTACTGGCCAAAGGACGTCATCTGAATATCAAAAAGAATATAAGTGATGGACTATAAGTGAATGAAAATCAGGATTTCAGTGATACCAAAGGTGTGAAAGTAAGAAAAGGAGGCAGATTTTCTTCACAGAATGCCAGATAATAAAAATAGAAGGCATAATAAGTCATCTTTCTTCAACCTGCAATGCAGTAAATGGATTCAGGTATGGATGGCTACAGGGTCCCTGATGAAAAGCTGGGGATCAACAAGACAAGCACATGATCTCACACTACCACCCTACCTAGGTTATTAATTACAACAATGAAAATATAGCTTGACAATGGAGAGATCTAATGGATATCAAGTAAACCAAGTGGTCAAACTTTATGAAATGCAGAGGGAAGTCCACAGCTCCTGTGTAGAATTCTTGACAGTGTGGGACATGCTGTGAGACAACTTGACTGGATTCTTTGGAAAGTCAGTGTCATGAAAGAAAAGGGCAGAGGAATTATTTGAGATCAGGTGTTGACAAGCTATGGCCAGCTCACTGCCTGATTTTATAAATAAAAGTTCTACTGGAACTCCACCATGTTCGTTCATTTATGTGTCCTTGGTGACTTTTACACAACAGCAGAGTTGAATTGTTGCAACAGAGACCATATGGCACTCAAAGCCTAATATCTGTTAACTGGCCCTTTAAGAAAAAGTCTTTAAGACTCTGTTCTAGATTAAAACCGTTAAAGAAACATAACCAAATACAGTGTGTGGCCCTGACTGATCCTGGATCAACAAACAAAAAAGTAACCAAATTAAAAATCATATTTGGGGCAACTGAGAGTATTCTCGATCAAGAATGGGGATAATTGGAGTATATATTAGATATTATTCATGTTAATTTTCTTAGTTGTCATAGTGGCATTGTGGTCATGCAGGCCATTGTCCTTATTTTTAGGAGATGCATGATTAAGTTTTTATGAGTGAACAGTCTTAATGCCTGCAATTTACTTAGAAAGGTCCTCTCCCACCCCATCCCCCAAAAGTGTACGTGTATGTGGGGGTGGGGAGCAAATATGACAAAACGTTAACACTGAAACCAAGTGAAGAGTATATGAGTGTTCATTGTATTATTTTTTAAACTTTTCTATAATTTCCAAAACATTTCTAAAATAAAAATTTGAGAGAAATGTTAACCAGTGTTAGTAAGGGTACATACACTGCTGGTGGGTGTGTAAATTGCTTTTACAACTTTTTTGAAGGTCAATTTGGCAGAATTTCTCATAAGTTTTGAAATGCTGTCTATAGTTTGACACAGACATTCAAATTCTAAGAGTTTATTCCAAGGAAATAATCATGTATTAATGGATGTGCAAAGTCTTTTCTATAAAGGTATGTTCATTGCAAAATGATTTCTAGAAGCCAAAAACTGGAAACAATTTAAGTAATAAAGTCTAGCAATAGGGGACTAGTGAATAAATTATGGATACTGGTACAACATAAAACTATGTAGTAACTTAAAATATTTCAGGGAGAATATTTAATGGCATGAAAAAATATTCTTGATGGAGTCTTGAGGAAAAGGTAGGTATATACACAGTATAAATATATACAGGAATAGAAAAACACTGGAAAGATAAACAGCAAAACAATATTGCAAGCACTGGGCAGTGAGAATATGAATGATTTTTAATTTTTTTTTTACATTTATTTGTAATTTATTAATTTTCTACAATGAAGGTATGTTACTTTTGTAATCAGGAAAAAATGTAAGTTCATATTTTTCCAGGCCATTGTTATTTCTGTACGATCACCTGCAGTTTCTGTTTAACGCACTACTGAGTGACAGGTGGCTCCTGTGGGCTATACGTTGAGCTCTGAACACCCTTGTGATGGGACCCAGTAACTTGGTTGGGGGGCAGCAGGGAGGCACCGACCTGGCTCTCAGGTGGGAGGACGACCTCATCGTAGGGCCCCACGATGGCGCTGGGAAACTTGCTGAAGATGATGGGCTCCTTGGGCACGGGCACGTTCTGTTCTTTGCAGTGGTCCACATAATTCATGCCCACACACACCACCTTGTCTGGTCGCGTGACTGGGGCCAAGAAGGTCACGTCTGACCGTGGTAATACTGGCAACTGAGCAGCCAAAGCTCTGTAGAGACCAGAGCAGGAGAGAGGGGCTGGCTGAAAGCGAGCTGGCAGTCCCATAGCAGGCTGAGGAGATGATGCAGCAGCTACAAGTTTTGCTTTTTAAAGTATATTTTCTAGATCTCTCAATCATCAGAGTCAACGTGAAAATCAAGCCCCACTCCTGTCCTTTGGTATCAGAGCACTGTTTGTTATTTATCCAGTTTCCTTACCCCCAATAGGTAATTCATGTCTATGTAAGAGATTTCAAAAGGTTCGAATGGGAATAAATAGCTCTCTCTCTTGCCCCTCCTAGTCACTCCATTCCCTTCCTTGGAGACAACCACAGTGCCCTATATAGCTCTTCACAGCTGCCCTATGGACACTCTTCTCCTACCCTTTTGTATGCAAATAATAGCACACTACACACACCTTTTT